TCGAGTAATTATTAAAAATGAGTGTACCCCTGCCAAGCAGCCTGTCTTACTTAACTTTTCTAGAGAAGAATGATCTTCCAGAATTTGTCTAAGCTTCTTTTAAACAAAGCTCCAGAGAACAAAACTTTGGTTATTTTAAGTGCTTGCAAAAACCTGACGACTTTTATGTTCAAATGACCTCACAGTCTACTCACGAAGGACCTGATACTTGGCTAGTATTACATTACATTCATGCAGATGCAAAATAAAGTGTTGTGTTTGCCAAAGACACTGATGTTTTCATACTTTGGCTGTTCCATTTCAAGAACATGTCTTGCAAGAAACGCTGGATGAAAGTAGGTACTTCAAAGAAACCCAAGTTCATTCCCGTCTTCAGAATTACCAGGTCCATACCAGATCACTTAATTGAGTGTCTCCTTACGTATCATTTCTTTAAACCATGGTTAAAAAATAGATTGAAATGCTTTGTAGCCCACTACAAATTTAATGAGTGGTTCGGTATTGGTAATCTAGATGAGGAAACAATGAGGTCAGTAGCAAAATGTATATGTTTATTGTAAAGATTTCCAGAAATGGACAGTTATGACAAGGCTAGAGTGATTTTGCTAAAAAAAGAAAAAATGCCACTAATAAATAATGTTGTTAACCTGCATATTATCAGTACTACAAAAAATAACAATAACAAAAAAACATAGAACAAGACAACCACAACAATTTTCTTATCCACATGGCTTTGCTAAAACTGCATAGAAACTTACTAAACAAAAAAATGCTTAGATTCTTATATACATTTGCATACAAAAGTATTTGGGCAGTTAAAAAAGGGAGAGAAACCACAAAGAAAGTGTCTTCTATTATTTATATTTGATCTACTAAAAATATTAATTAAAGCGAAGATTTAGTTTTATATGTTAGATATACACGACTGTTCATTTTAATTTTAACACGAGAGCATTATTTAGTTTATATTTGTGTGAGCATTAATATAAGTTATTTTTAGAAGCGATAGTTATGGCAAGTTTGTTTACGTAACTTTTTACGAATCATTTATTACGTAGTTCAGTTGTTGTGAATTGACGTCAGGTTACTCGAACCTTCTAAATTTTTCTCATTGCTTTAAGTTAGCATTGTTACATCATAACGTCTCGTAGTTTGTAGAAAGTTTTAGGCCTCTGTTGGAATATATATATATATATATAGGCAATCAAGTTAGTGCAAGTAAGTATGTTAGTGAACGTAAGACAAAGTTGGTGAGAGATGATAGTCAAATAGATCAAGACTGTGTTTGTAAGTTCAGCCAAAATGATTATATAGTGGCCAATTTTAAAGTGTTATAATCATACATTTTATTGTAATAACAGAGTAGTTATATACTTCGTCTTGCCAACTGGATTCTAAAGTAACTGAACCAGCCTGTGTGGACTTTTGAAGTAAAAGAGAATTATTTAAAGCTCTGGATACAACTGTTGTAACCCACGGGGTAACATAATTGAATTTATCACTGATTGTATTGTGATCATAGAGTAGAGGATAATAATTCGTCTTGTCAGATTGTGTTCTAAGGTAACTGAATCAGCCTGTGCGGACTTTGACGAAACAGAGACAATTATTTAAAGCTCTGCATACAACTGTTATAACCAACAGTGTGACGAATTTTTGCACATATGTTTGACTATTTTGAATATATTATTTTAAAACAAGTGGATTGTGTGCTGTCCGTTTACTGTTGAAATTTATCGCTAAGTCGCAGACACCTACCGCAAAGAATTGCGGCCCCTATAAAAAGTTAACATAATAAAACAACAAATTATTAAATAACATGCATAAAATGAAAAGTAACATGCAAAAACTAATTTCATACATTGACAGAACTATTTGGCAATCAACATATTACGTGTCAAGCCCATTTGTTGCTAATTATTGACAATTATCATGACTGAAAACCAACACCTGAGGATAATTGCAGAATAAATAAGTACATAATCATTAAGTGCTAAAAATAATTGAAAATTAGTGATCCAAAAAAATAATAATACAAATGGATAAAACCCGAGTACAACAACGATCTCAAAATGATAGTGATACAATTAAAAACAAAAAACAGGAAACTACCAGAAAAATAGAAGAAAATAGACAAACTCAGTTTGTCAAAAATCATTGACAAACACAGATAAAACACAGCTACTGCGACTAAGCTCCATCTGTGGGAAAATAAGCAAAATTTCTGCAAAATCAAGAAGAAGAATTTGTAGCTCGGTAAAAATCTCCGGATTACTGGAAAAGATTTGACACAAGAACCGACAGAATATAGTCTAGAAATTCACAAGAGAACAATTTTATGATACTTTAAATTAACAATTTGAACGTCCATGGGCAAAAATCAAGACTCAAACCTTTGTTAAAACAACATACAAAAGAAAGCAATTACTTTTACATTTAATACATGATGCTTTCTTCAACCAAGTTTTATGGTCAAACTAATCAAAAATAGGCCCTTTTTTCACGAAGAAACAAACAATGTTTGGAGGAAGAGAGGATAAAAATTTAAAGAAAAGTTCATCATGACCAGTGATAAACATGGTGGATTGTGAATAATGATTTAAGCAGTATTCATCATCATCTTGAACAGCTGATAGATGAATACAAGATCAAACAAGATGACTGTATTAATTCTAAGTTTGTTAAGCAAAAAATGGGAAGTTTAAAGAATGATAAAGCTCTGGGCCAGATAATATTTTATCAAGGATTTTGAAAGAGGTTAAGGATTGGATATATGAGCTACTTCCTACTATTTTTTGTCAGTCCTTGAATAGTGGGTACGTACCAGAGGATTGGAAGATGGCTAATGTTATTCCTCTTGTCAATGGAGGTGATAAAAGTTGTCTCAGTAACTATAGGCCTATTAGTCTTGCATCCATTGTGGGAAACGTTTTTGAAAGTCTGATAAAAGATTATTTTCAAAATCATTTAATGACGTTTAGAATTTTATTAGATAGTCAACATGGTTTCACTAAGGGAAAATTTTGCCCTACAAATCTTTTGACATTCTTTGAAAAGGTTACTCTTATTTAGATGAGGATAAGGGTGTAGATTTGGTGTATCTGGGTTTTTAGAAAGCCTTGGACAAGGTGGAACATAAAAGGCTTGTAAAAAAATCATCTCTATACGTATAAGTTAGCTAACTGGATAGAAGAGCTGTTGGATGGAAGAAAGCAGAGGGTTGTTATAATGGAGTTCAGTCAAACTGGATTAATGTCACAAGTGGAATACCTCAACGATCAGTCTTAGAACCTTTGCCCTTTTTAATTTACATCAATGATATAGATGAAAGAGTGATCAATAAATTACTTAAATTTGCTGATGATATTAAGGTCTTGGGAGTTGCCTGTGAGGAGGAGAATGCTGCTTTACAAAGTAATTTAGATCATTAAGTGAGTTGGGTGAATAAATGGCAGATGGGTTTTAATTATAATAAATACAAGATAATGCATATGGGTTATCGTAATATGAATTATAAGTATAACTTGGATGGGAATAACCTTAACAGAGTTATGAAGGAAGGGATCTTGGTGTAGTGGTTGATCAGTCTCTTAAGCCATCCAAGCAACGTACTGTTGTTGATGGTAGGGCATATAGGATTTTAGGTTGTATCTACAGAAATATTGAATACAAGAGTAAAGAGGTTATAATTTCATTGTACAGATCACTGGTTAGACCACATTTGTAGTATTGTGTTCAGCACTGGGCTCCTTACCTTAGGAATGACATTAAATTGTTGGAAAGGTTTCAGAAGAGGACTACTAGAATGGTGCTTGGGATTGAGAGTTGGTCATATGACGAGAGATTAAGATCCCTGAAAAAAAATAATAAATTAGAGAGGATCTGACTGAGGTTTTTAAGATTGTTAAGGGAATTGACAGTGTTGATGCCTCATCTTTTTTTGTACTTAATGGTAAAACTAGGAGAGACAAATATAAATTTTGGTAGGATTCATCTTCAGCTAAGAAAGTTTTATTTTTCTAAAAGGGTGGTTGCCTTAGGAGGCAGTAAATTTAAGTGAGTTTAAGAGAAAGCTTGAAAATTATATGAATGATAAGGACTGGCTTTGAGGCTTGTTTTTTTTAGTTTAGTTTAGAGGATGGGACAGCCGAGATGGATCAATAGGTCCCTTGTTGTCCCTAAACATTATGTTATGTTATAATATAAGGACACCAAGGGATCACTTGGTCTTTTCAAATTGACCTTTAAAAATGCAAAAACTTAAACATGTCCTTTATTTTTCAGGAAATAATGGATTCTCCTCTTTAACTTCTGTAAATTGCTGGCCTCACTACTGCCGATGCCAGTTATTTCTATGTTGATGAAACAAAAATGAAGATGGGTACTAACAGCATTACAATGATAACAGAACTTTACTGAAAGGGTTTCAATAACAAAGGTCAAAGTGACAAAATTTCAGAGAATCCATTTTCACCTTTGTTTCATCATGAATACATTGCTTCAATGATTGACTAAAGAAAACTCATTCCATAAGACAGTCACATGGTTAGAAAAACAAGTTTTAACTGGAACCTAGCCTGTCTTCTGCAATTCTTATACTTTTGTCCTTTCACCCAATTATCTTCAGAAAATCAGATTTTTCCCATACCCTCAATCAAGGCTCCTCAAATTTGTATTTAATTTTTCATCATGTCTGACTGGTTGACAACAGGGCCACTTCAGCACAGCATCATAGACAAAACCCAGTACTCAGTATACAGTTTATGTTTTATTTCTCATTTTCCTTTTTTTTTCATCCTCTCCTTTATCTTTCTGAATATTCAAAACCTCAAAATTATTACTGTACCCTTTGAACACTTATTCAGAAGAGTATTCAGTCCTCAGTAATAGCTTATGACTTGGTAAATTAGTTTAACAACAACAGTTAAATGTACACCACTTAAGCTCAGTATTGAATTTCACAGTTAACTCCTAGTATAGTATGAGAGAACGAGTTACGATAGGCTTTCAGTAATTTATTAGAACAAAACAACAAACACATTTACCAGAATTTACTTTTCCAATAAATGCAAGATACACTAAAATACTGAATTCACCACCCACATATTGACAAAACCAAAGTGATTAATCCTGCAACCTACAACAGTGTAGTGTACTAACAAAACTGCAGTAGTATTTATATATATATATATATATATATATATACACAAACACTAATAGTACGTTTGCTACATAGTTGTTATAGATATAGAAATAATACACCTTATTCCTTCTCTAAACACTGTATTTGACATTAAAATACTTTCTATTAAAGTTATATATATAATGATAAAAGTTTTTAGATATATGAATGTAATTCTATCATTTAAACATATCTGCAGTTCTTTATATGTTTACTATGTATAAGAAAATGGAAACTACAACAACAGCTACAGAAATACATACATGGCTGCAATATTATGGAAGCTTTGAACCATTGTTTTCAATTATTAACCACACCCTGTCTTCACTTATTTAAAAGTATTGTACTGTTATATAAGTATATTTTGTTTCATAACTGTGAAAACATGGAAAAAGTTTAAAAACTTAAAATGTAAAACAGATTATCATACTGAGTACAAATACACACTGGTATATGAACATAGGAACTAAGTGAAATAAGTCATATGTCGAGTTTATCATTAATAATAAATTCAATAAACATTAAAACCCACCCTGAGAAAAAATTAATAACAAAATATTAGAATAAGAACAAACCTCAGTAACATGAGCATCTACTGATTAATTGAAACATCATTCTAATTTCATGGTAACAGAGGTAGGCCTTTCTAAAGTACTTTCATAACCTAGACCTTTCATAAGGTAGGCTTTTCTAAAGCACTTTCATAAAGTACACCTTTCTAAAGCACTTCCATAAGGTAGACCTTTCTAAATCAATGGGGTATTACTGTTTAATATTTTTGTTTATACATTCTTAAGGTGTTCGAGATGTCATACTATTACCTTAAAGAAAAAAAAAACAACTGAAATGTTCTCCACTAAATGAGCAAAACAGTGGTAGGAGCTTCGGAATAAAACATGAATCCGATAAGTGATGATGTGGAAAATTAGCTTTATCCACAAACTCCACTGACCTGTCAGATATCAAAAGGCAGTGCAATTGTAATATATATGATGCACAGCTCAGGAAATAGCCCAGTTATATAGAAAGGTGATATTAGCTTTTGCATGATTGTAATGTAATAGAACTGCTCAACCATTCCTGCTTATTGACTCTGGAGCTACATAAACAGCACTTCCTATCACATCTCACAGAAATTACATATAATTTTATAAAATACTGATTATGTGAGATCAGAGTAGTAAGTTTTTTCATCAAGTGATATAACTCATCTACGTCAGATCTGGGCGATTAGCGGAATTTAACAATCAGGCTCATTAATCAATTACATTCAACTGAACAATTATTCTCACATGAAACTTGGACAGTTAGAATAATCAAAATAATAACAGACACTAACTAATTAAGTTTAACAACCTAGAATTAAATGTAAAAACTAATGAGAAAATAGCCATATTTCAATTACTTGAACAGCTGGATGAGCCAAAACCAGTAATAATCAGAAACCTTAATTCTGATTAATCAATTATTTCATCTAATGCCAATCAATGCTGTAATCCACAATACATAAAAGATGAATCATTAAGTGGCATATGTTTAGATAAGATTAGAATCTGGAAACATCTATTTGAAAGGGGTCAATTATGCTACATTTACAAACTACAGATTCACAAGTAGCATGTTGTCAGTACAGCTAATGTGAACTTCCAAGAAGTGTTCATTTTTCATCTTATATCTGTTAGTATACTACCAGATTATAATCAAAATAAATGAAATCCCACTTTAATATGCTACTTTAAACTTGGGGAATATCATGCAAAGATGTAGAACAAGCAACTAGAACAGACTTATAAATCATCACAATGTGACTACTGCAACAGATTTACCAATCAATTAGTACAGTGTGGCAACTAAAACAGATTATAATTCATCATAGCTAGCTACTGAAATAGATTTATCAAGCAAGTATCATAGTGTAGCTATTGACACAGGCTTCTCAATCAGTTATCATAGCATGACTATGATAATTAAAAATGCATCCAAATTGGAAAAATTACTCTCAGGAAAAGCAGGATAATACATAAAATTCAATCCAGAGTCTAAGGCCCTAAGGTTAGCCCTGGACCTCAGCCATAATGAGTGCACTTATGGTGTATATTCCCTCGATTTACCTCATAGTATGGCTACTAGAACAGACCTATCAATAATCATAGCTGGACAAACTTATCAATTATCACAGCTGGCTACTATAACACACTTAGCAATAATCATAGTGTGGCTACTGGAACATACTTATCAATTATCATAGTGTGGCTACTGGAACATACTTATCCAAAATTATAGTGCAGCTACAACAACAGACTTATCAATTATCATAATGTATTTTCTACCATAAATGATGTGCCTGCAGCCAACTTTTTGCTAAATAATTTTGACTACTGTTTAGAAGTATTCTGAATATTCACAATAATGCTGCATTTATCAACTGGATAGAAAATTATACAACTTGAAGATGAAAGGCGGAAGACTTTCGAAACGTCGTCCTCTACATTTGTCCATTTGAAACTTAGATTCATATACAACTTCTTGATGGTTAAAAAGATAATCTGTTGACTTTTTACCAGCAAGCTACCATTAATTTCAAGCCCTGTATTTCATTATCTTAAGTTTGACCTTATTGAATAGGCAAACAACTTGCACTTGAAACTCAAAACAAAAGAATAACCTTGGAAATTAGTTTGAGAAAAAGAAAAACACATTGCATAAATTAATATTCTTATATTCTTTGTTCACAAGAGTCTAAAAACAAACAGACTTAAAACATATTATAGGTATTTTAGAAAACATGATTACTTAGTTTTTTACACTCTAAGGCATATACAAACTCATTATTATGTTAAGTGCTTTACAACTTACCTCCACTGTTTAGAAAGCAGATGGAGAAAATGTTGTGAAATCAATGTGTAGAGTCTGACCATACATAGTCATATGGTGTGTTATGATGACATTAAATGGCATTCACGGATATAAGATACATCATCCAAAATTATTTAAGCAGACTTAAACAAGTAACTGAAATATGTACACTGTCTCCCCCCACAGTCCAATTGGTCAACTACAATATGAGTATGACAACACTATGTCCATTGATTTCCTAAAGACAGTTGCCTGAACAGTGGAAGTGACTTTGAAACACTTAAGTTTATTACTTTAATGTTATGTTTATCAAGAACTGAGCTGAATAAATTTCAAATCTACCAGTAACAACAGATTTTCTTATTGTGTTATCATTCCTATTGTAGTAAACATTTCAATATAATACAACTCTCAATGGCAGTGATTAGGATGGCAAGGAATGAAATAGGCAGTGTTTGGCATGGTATGGAGAGAGGAAAATTCAGATATTAGACAACACATGAAAGAAAGAGATAATATTCAAATTGACAAGAAGCTAACATTAGTATTGAAGATAAACACAATGAAAAACTGTCTTGAAAGTAGCAGATAATATTCAAATTGATAAACAATTAAGGATTCAGTATTGATGATGGTAAAAGAAAATGTAAAGTACAACAAAATACAAGAAGAGCTTGCAAAATGGCATTTTCTGTATGGCACGGTAAAATAATGGAAGTGTTCAGTATGATATGGCACAACAAAATAATGGAAGTGTTCAGCATGACATGGCAAAGTAAAATAATGAAAGTGCTCAGTATGACATGGCAAAGTAAAATAATGGAAGTGCTCAGTATGACATGGCACAGCATATTAATGCAAGGGCTCAGTATGATATGGCACAGCAAATTAATGCAAGGGCTCAGTATGATATGGCACAGCAAAATTATGCAAGGGCTCAGTATGACAGGGCAAATAAAATAATGCAAGGGCTCAATATGACAGGGCAAATAAAATAATGCAAGGGCTCAATATGACATGGCAAAGTAAAATAATGCAAGGGCTCAATAAGACATGGCAAAGTAAAATAATGCAAGGGCTCAATATGACATGCAAATTAAAATAATGCAAGGGGTCAATATGACATGGCAAAGTAAAATAATGCAAGATCTCAATATGACATGGCAAAGTAAAATAATGCAAGGGCTCAATAAGACATGGCAAATTAAAATAATGCAAGGGGTCAATATGACATGGTAAAGTAAAATAATGCAAGATCTCAATATGACATGGCAAAGTAAAATAATGCAAAGGCTCAATAAGACATGTAAGATATGAGAGATACAAAGACTACATAAAAACCATTTATTAAACAGGATAAATTCTCATAAATGCATGGAAGAAATATTTAGTTTTAAAAGGGCATGAAAAGAAAAACTTGAACAAGATAGTTGATCTCTTTGCATGCCTTTCTAAAACCCACAAATATATCAGTGTTCATTAAAATCGGAAACCCAAATCGGTGATATTTTTGTGTATAAATGATAACAGAAGTACAAAGATGTTATGAAAGGACGAGTACAGCACCTAAATCGACACTGTAGTAACTTTATGTCCAATGCCTCAAATACAGATGAAAACAGTTGATTTAATATTAAACACTTTTATACATCAACTAATATTCATGCCATACTTACAAATAACTGCATAAAATCTTCAAAATACTGTTATCCATAACTCAAAAACTAAAATACATTAAGAATTTCAGTTTGTCTGATCAACGAACACCAAATTTCTCACAAAAATATCACCCCGTCATTCTCACAAGTTCATGTATTATGTAAATTCCACTTGATAACTTACTTATTACAAGACTCTAACTATAAACAAAACCACTCAGAATGCTAATTATGCACACACTCATCTATCTGAGTGTAGACTTCCGATTTTAACATCACTGTGATTGGTGGAATCTGACATGCTGCCACTGTCTGAGGTGTTGCCACTGGACAATCTTCCATTATGATCTGACGATACTCTACGTTTTGGTTGAAATTCCGTAATAATAACAGTGACATTGTTTACAGTTATTGCTTTCTGCTGAGCACTGCTCCGATCCACATTCTTTAGTCGGGGCCTATAAAAAGATGTGGTTAAAAACAACAAAACCTTACTGACTTTCCTACATTAGGTTGCTAGGAATACACAAAAACATCATTAATATACTTTAACCATAAGGCACCAATAACACACATGTACTACATAGATCATAAACATTCTTTCAGAAAAATAAGTACTTGTCACTCAATAGTCTCAATATGACAACTAATTCATTTTCATATACAATTAGTACTAGTAAAGGTCAAAACCAAGAATGTTTTTAGTTTGATATATTAAATCATTGAAAATTAATTCCAATGGTAATTTAAGCTAATTTACAAATTTTGATTCTCCAGGTTACTGGGAAATCCATTAATTCACTGAAAAATATTCAAAAGTAATTTAAACTTATTTATATATTTTGATTCTTCAGGTTACTGGGAAATCTTGTCATTATTTTCCTGTTGCATTCATGGTCCATGTTATTACTTGTTTTTGAGTATGTCACACAGTTTAAGCCCTAGTATAATTCCTTAAGGTACTCCATCTGGTGATTAGCATGCGTAACAACATTAATAAGAAGCTTATTCCTACTTGTAAGAGGATGAGTACAATAATCTAATTTTTAAAACTTACCCAAAAAGTCCAAGAACCTCATTACTAAAAAAAGAATCTTGTATCTCTTATATTCATTTGTAGCAATTCTTATACAAATATTTTATGCATTCTATATTGTACAAATAGTTTGACTTCAGTGGATCCTGTTCAAAATCTCAAACTCTGTCAAAGAGCTTCAGTAAATCCTGTTATGGATCTCAAACTCTGTATAATAGCTTTAATAGACACTCTTCAAGATCTCAAATTATGTAAACTAGCTTTATTACATGTTGTTCAGAACTCAGCATACAAAGACTGTTCTTGCTCCTTCTGTAGTGGAGATAAATCACTAAACAGCACTGTTACACTACATATAACAGGATGATACCACCTTTATTTTGGTACAAAAAAAAACTGGTTAAAAATCCTAATAACAGTAGAGACAATGCTTACCTATTTCGCTTTTTTGGTAGAGCTTCTGTCGAGGAGTTATCCAAATTTTTTTTCTCCAACTTTGAAGGGATTTTTTGCTTGGTCTGAGGTGGGGTGTAATGATGAACAACTTGCTGAGATACGAGTTGCGGGTTAAGCCGTGGTTTCCTATATAAAATCAGAGTTGCACAGATCCTTATGTGTCATAACATAAAGGCTGGATTTTTATTAATTTAACCTTAGAAAATCAAGAGATAATTCCAATAATTATATTATGATGTTGAGGTCATTACATCTGTACTTGTGTTGTGTGATAAAAATTTTATACTGCCTATATCAGCTGTTTCCACAACTCGTACAGTAATCATAGTTTATTTCATTAACTTAAATACAAGTTTGTTTATTTTTTAAAAAGTAATCCATTTCTGTATTCTGTTCTTATATCACCAAAGAAATATATAGTTCAGTTTGAAACATATTCTTAGTTTAATAACTTGTAATAAAATTAAATGTAATATATAATTGATACTTGAAAATATCGGTACTTGGTGAAACTCAATAATTACAGAAATGTGGAACAAACAAGACAGTAAAGGTGAAACCAGGTTGTTATAAATGATGTATTTGTGAAATGTACAATTGTTTTGTTTTTCCCCAATTTTGTAGTTAAATGTAATACACTAAATATGCCCTTCAAATACACAAAAAACTCATATAATTCAATAACACTTGTGTGTCAAATTTCATGAGATCTTTTTTTTTCAATTATTCTTTAATAAAAACGACCAGGACACACAGTCAATATTTTTTCTCAGGGCTAGCCACCATAACTTTTTTTTATAGTCAAAATCTTAACCAGCAAGTATTTCTTTAGTTATATTTAAAGGCCAATTAAACAATAAAATTTAATTATAAATAGATGCATACTGTTACGAACTTAGAGCTACTATAGCTTCAAGTTACAATTTGAAGTCATTCTAGAGAGAAAAAAAGGGTAATTTAGGTTCATTTTGATTTTTTAAGGTGGTTACAAGGTAGGTCAAATTGACGAATGCCATTTTAAGATAGGGTAGAAAAAATAAGATAAACTATAAAGTTTTACTGAAAAAAAAACGTTTGAAATGCATTTAGAAGGTTTTAAGGATTACACAAAGGAAATTTGAGATTTTTGATATGAGGAAAAGTATTTTAAATTTTAACATGAAAATTACTTTGTACATGGACCATTCAAAACAAATACTCAATATATTCATTGACAAATCTCTATTTTATTTTATTAAAAATACTTCACTAAAAAATATGATTTTTGTAGGTGAAAGATTTAATATTAACTGAAAGACTGCCAAATTTTGTGACGATATACACACTGTATTGAAAGTTAGAAGTATTAAACCTATAAAGACTTTAATTGAGTACAAAGAGATTTATCTGGTCGGTCAAATTGACCGAGTCCGTGTTGAGAGAGTTAAAAAGATGCACACGCAAGTAGATAAGTAATAATACCCAGATGCACACCCTCAGGGTCCATTTAGTGTGGGTGCAAAATTTCAGATTTCTAGGCCTTTTCCTTTTGGAGATATGGTGGTCACACACAGACACGCCCTTTTATTATTATAGATATACTCATCTAAGTCTAAGCAGACTGTAACAAAGGAGGCCCACATGAAGACTGAGGAGTCTTAAATAACAGGGGGTCAAGAGACCCCTTACTGTCTCAAAAGTTAACATTTTCTTCAATCGAAAATATATTTCCAATAATACATACATCCTCTCACACTACAGCTATTACTCAACTGCTAAGGTTTCTTCCTTTGCCCATCTAAGCATTGGTCTGATTTTTTATCACTTGCTCCAGTCCTTTATATCCCACTTAATTGCCCTTGGCAATATTTGTTTCGTGAAACTCTCCACCATTGTCAATGCACCCTCTATCCTGGTACTGTATATAAGCACCTCATTCAGATAATGTTATCACTTTTTCCAGACTGGCTCAATCCCAATCTCTAACAAAGGCTCTTAGTGTGGAGGAATGGCAAAAGAGTTAAGTATTATTGGAAATACATTTTTGATTTAAGAAAATGTTAATTTCCAAAACATACTTACATCCAATCACACTACAGCTAGAATTCCACATTGATAAGGTGGAGGGGCCAGTGAGGGCATTATCCATATAGAATGTATCTGCATAGATCATGGGTTTGTCAATAGAAGATGGGCACCCTAGTGGGGGAACCACACTACATACAGAACAGGTACGCTCTTTGCCCACAACTTAATTCATGTACTGTAGGTGGAATTTTACATGATTTATCATCACTATTGGCCAGGCCCCAATCAGATAGAAAATGTTCCACTGCTAGGGGTTGGAATTATAGGGTTATGGCCCCTATATCATGGAATGGACAACTGGACTACAATATATATATATATATATATATACTTATGAGTGGATCCCAAACTGTAGCCATAGAGTGATTATGTTCCGAGACACTGGAATCATGAGAAAGTAAGCAACACTGATGTTGATAAACCTTTTCCTCAACCTGAAGAAGTCTGAAAGGCAACACCCGATGTTCAGAATGATGGAATCTTGAGGAACAAACTTTTCTCAACCAAGGACCATTCCTTTGAAAATTAAGTGCTTAACTTTTGTGTAAAATGAAGAATACTTATGAATACTGTAGTTTACACTACTCAAAGCACTAATCATTTGAATCTTGCTGACTCCTTCACCCATAGGACATAATGCTAAATTTAATTTAAAATTAGGTTTTGCATAATTGTCCACCCTTAGGGCAAAATTTTCATTTTAATATTTTAATGAAATATATTGACTATAGATCTCAATCCTGAGAACAAAAAGACAAACTCAAATGCAATAGATTTAATGAAACAGTTTTCTTTACACAGATCTTTGTGGAATTTCTAAATTGGGCCAAAGAAATCCAATACTGTCTTTCCATTACATTCTAACACCATAATTGTTTTGGATCTATGACAAACAGATGCCTTCAGTAATAATCACTCTCATATTTAAACTTCTACATGATTAAGCTGATTGACCAATATAATGTTTTGCTACAAAAACTAATTGTTAGCATACACAACAAGCTGCATTCATTTCTGCAATACTGACAATAATTTTCCTACCGAAATAAATGCACTCTTGCAAATAACCTCACATTTAAAAATACACAATTGCAAATTTAAGAGAGAAATCTGAATTAGCCCAATTCACAGCTGACGCAGTCATTTGGGTCAGCAGTTAGTTCTAAAATATAGTACCTGAATCTGTGTTAAATATTACATTCTGGAAAGGAACTGCTGTAGTTGGAAACTATATTAACTTAAGAAGAAAAATAAACAGAGTTCAAGTGTCTCATACACCTTGAGTGTATCCCAAATAAAATGAAAAGAACAAACATACTTTAAAAATCAAGTATATTTGAACATCCAGGATGTTTATTCAATATAGCTGAATTTTTTCATGGTAAACAAATTTACTGGAAAATTACCAAAGTATTATATTTCAGTGGTCCAAACCATACTTTGAAAAATGTGTACTCACTTCAGAGTGCTATGTTCACAAGTAACATTTGGGAGTGTGGTTTTAAAAAGTGTAATACTCGTTTAGGAGTACAGTGTTTAGAAGTGTTGATTGTAAGTTGTTTGAAAATGGAGAAATTACAGATGATTACTTATGCAAAATCTTTTGAGAAGATTTTTGCTTGTTTTGAAAAAAATACCAAATTTTAATTCAAAGTTGTCTCATTTGAAAGTGATTTGTTTGGAGGTCATGCCCACTGCTTAATACAAAGCTGACTCATTTGGAAGTTAACATTTTCCTTACCTGAAAATGCATTTCCAATAGATAATTACCTCTCTGCAGACAGTAGCTATTTCTCGCATGTCTGCCTTTGAGGTTTGGCACAGCCCCTAGCCTTGAGCTATCCTCCCCCTGAGATGCATGTTATAAAGTGAACTGTACTTGTGCATAATTTAAATTTTTCAGAATGGGCTCGATCCCTGGGACTGACCTCATAACCATTTTGTGCTTGTTATAATTTTCA